TTCTGTTAATTTTTCCTCTGTCCAAGTTGATGTTTTTCTCAAGTCATCTCAAAATGACTTGGAGGTCAAATAATCCTTATCTGTCACTAAAGTAAGAAGCTCATTATAATTTCTGTGCTGTTCCTCTGTACTTTTATTCCAGCCACACTCCTTGGGGAAAAAATTACATGTACACTTTAGAAAAACAGTAGCAAGAAGTTCATGTAATAGGTTCTCTGTGGGGAAAACAAACCCTTATATACCAGTTCTAAAGCAGATGACAATGGTGGAAGTCCATGAAAAATTAATAGTAAAATAATATAAATAATAACAGCTAACATTTGTATCATGCTTACTGTGTGCTAGGCAGTATTTTAAGTGCTTTAGCCCTCAGACCTTAATAATAGTTATATTTATGAAGCTGTCTTATATTCATTCATTCACCAATTATTTATGGAATACAGCATGCTGGGGATAAAATGGTGAGCAAGAGACATGTTTGTTGCCCTCATGAAGTACTGCTATGTCTGTTCTAATGTCAAGGACTTATTAGAATCTTGCTTCACAGTAATCAAGAGAAAATTTATGTCTCCTGGTGGCTCAGTGATTAAGAACTCAGCTGCTAACCAAAAGGTTGGCAGTTTGAATCCGCCAGCTGCTCCTTGGAAACCCTGTGAGGCAGTTTTACTCTGTTCTATAGGGTCGCTATGAGTCAGAAGCAACTCAACGGCAACTAGTTTGGTTTTGGTTTTATCAAGATGTTCTATCCTTTGAGATACTAACATTATTAATTTCACGTAAAAATTCTCCTTGTATGAGAACACAGCTCAAAAGATTTAAATAATGCCAATCATTTATTCCATGCAGTACACATGTACTTGTACACATACGCAGTACTGACGTGGATTTGCCGAGTTTTTTCTTATTTGTTGTGCTCCTGCCTCTTGGCTTTACGAGCTACCCAGTCTCTTTTCACATTTTTGTCTTCTTCTTACTAGGGTGGGGGTTCCTACTCCCTCTCTCTCTGAAATCAGCAAACAGCTGAAAGGGCATAATGAAACTAAGGGCATAGTGCCCTTTCTACAATGTTTGGCACCTGAAATGTGAAAGTCTTTGAAAATGTTCTTTCTGCATGAAATAGAGCTCTCAAGTGGTTTGAGATTCAGACAGGGGAAACAGATCTTTCTCTCTACATGTTAGGTATGTAATGACTGTGGGTTGAAATGTCACAATGTAGAGCATTGCAAATGTTACTGTAACTATGCAAAGTCAAATCCAGGACATGCATACCTTTAACTTCTACTAGGTAAAGACACGAATAAATTTCTTTTTGAGATGCCGTCTTCAGATTTTTTAACCACTTCCTTTCTCAATAATATAGTAAAACAACTAATAAAATTATTTGCAAGGTTAATGTAAATAAGCCAGTATACAAAATTTGCTTGCATTATTACTATACATATTAATAATTGTTGTGTATATTAATGTGTGGATTAAATAAAATCTGATTCAGTTATTTTTGGCATAGTAGAATGTATACATGCAAATTTATTTGAGGATGGCTATTCTAAACATTTACACTGACCATAACTAAAAAGAAAAATATTTAAAATTTGCAAAGCATTTTTTATTTTTGTTCCTTATATAAATGGATATTAATCTGATTATCTTTTAATATTTGCAAACATCTTTTCATTGGATGCGGTATATATTCTATCTAATTGTTGATAATAATATCTGCCACTATTAAGTGCCTACTATGAGATTGGTTCTGTACTATGTGTTTTATATACACTCTCTCATTTAATCCTCTAAATGGTAAATGAAATTGCATCAGTATTATTATCCTCATTTTACTGATTGAGAAAACTGGAACTTTGGAATGTTAAGTAACTTGCCCAACACAACCGTTAGATGAAAAAACTGGGATTTTTAAGTTCAGTTCCTTTTGGTTTCAAGTCTCCTTAACCATGTCACAGTACTGCATACCATTATCTTCCTGGAAATGTTGTTTTGAGCTGAATAACAATAACTGTTATCTCTTTTGTTACCTGAGCAATAAACCACCTTGTGCTATACCACACTCTCAGACTGGGAATGTGTTCTGTGTTCCCGCAGGGTTGAATGTAACAACTGTGAGACTGGAGAACAGTGTGGGGCAATTATGCATGGCAGTGCTGTCACCTTCTGTGAGCCATATGGTCCGAGAGAATTGGTAAGTATATGCTGTGTACGTACATCATTCCAAATACATAGCATTTACTGAGTTGTTTTTTGGTTTTGTTTTTTGTTTTTGCCAACACAAGGTTCTCTATCCTTTTTCAGTTCAGATAAATTTTGAAGTATAATTGATATTATGAATCCTATTACAAATATCTCAAAACTAGGAGAGGTGATTTTATTGTCTCTTTTCAAAACATAACGAACATAATTAATGTCACTAAAGTGTTCTGGTGGAGATTGTTGAAATGGCAAATGTTTTGTTGCATACATATTTACCACAATAAAAGAAATGCATTGAATAACAAATAATTCCCTTCAAAAAAGTAAAATACACTAATATAAAGTTATTGGGCATTTTCCTTGATTCTACTTTAATATACATATTTACCAGTGTGAAAGTAATGGCAAACTCTTGTCATTAGTCTCAGTCACCATGC